CCCATAAAACATTGTTTCTTTACTGCTATACAATTTTAAATGTGTATAATAACTGTGATATTAGACTAGGTATATATATTTTTGTGTTTTCTTTTCAGTGCCAACATTGTGAGAAGTCTTTTGTAAACTATTCGTATTTAGAAGGTCACATAAAGAGGAGGCATGCTGAAGATACTTCTTTAGGTAATTCATTACTATCCTTGTAAGAACAGTATGCTGCAGACCAATATACAGTAAACTCCCCGTTATCCGGCATCCACTGGGATTGGTAGATTCCGGATAAATGTATTTTCTGGTTGCTTGAGTGTTACTATTGAAAATTGGTCTAACTAATGCCATACTCCATACTATACCATAAACTATGTATTGACTTCATATTAATATTGAAATGCAGTAATCAAAAGCAAATAGGCACACTTAAAACAAATTAAGACAAAAAGGCATACAATCGTTTCCAGGATAATACATGTCGCAGATCAGCAGAACAGTGAGTGTACGGGAGACTTTTTTTTCTGGTTAGGTGAGAGTCCTGGTTAGTTGAATACTGGTTAACAGAGAGTTTACCTTATACATTTTAACATATGTTTTCAAGGGTGAACGTTACTCCTACATTTTATGTGCAGCGGCTTCTATTACAGTGCTTGTATATGCAATACTAATCATCCTTGTGAAAAATGTGTTTGCCGGAAAATCCATCTGAACTGCAGCAGATTGTGCTGCAGCAGTTTTAAAAAACGCCCTGCAGTATTATGCTTAGGTGCAATCTAAACCATTGAAAGTAATGCTACAGAATTTTCCAGTGCAGTTTAAAAAGGAACTAGACCCTCCAATTCAACTGTCTCCCAAAACAGTTACTTTCAAGGCATGTCTCTGGTAATAAATGTCAAGGTTGTCAGTGTGCTTATTTCAGCTCTCAACCGAAATGTCAGCCCTCAAATGACTGGTGTTATAGTTGGTCATATATGCGGCACCTTGTCAACTGCAATCCAACGGGCTAAGATGGCACCTTCCTTGGCTGTAATGGACAGTGGTGCGTAGTCTCTTTTTTACCACATCTGTCAGTCCTGCCCTTAGATGCAATGATCATAGAAATGGCTCTAAAATGTCATTAACTTACTACTAAACATAGTATATGAAAGGACCCTGGTAAAGTCCTGCTAAACAGGCCCATACTTAATATCTTCTGGGCAGTAACCATACTTGCTGACTTTATTTGTACCAAATGTATCATAGTCCATTTCTTTCTTTCTTTCTTTCTTTCTTTCTTTCTTTCTTTCTTTCTTTCTTTCTTTCTTTCTTTCTTTCTTTCCTTCTTTCCTTCTTTCCTTCCTTCCCAATGCTCTGTGGACTACCAGCGTTATAATTTTTTGTGCATGCTCCTAATTCCATATCATACAAGGAGGGGAATTCATCAAAACTGGAGCAGACAGAATCTGGAGCAGTTGCACATGGCATTCAGTCAGCATCTCTGTTCAGTTTGTTCAGTTAAGATTTAAAAATGAAAGATAGAAGCTGATTGGTTGCCATGCACAGCTCTTACAGATTTTGTCTGCTCCAGTTTTGATAAATTCCCCCCAGAGTGTTTTTTTTTTGCTTCCACACTCTTGCTCCACACACACTTTGTGCCATCAACGTAACATATGTAAAGTTATACTCTTACTTATCCTTGTTGAAAACAAAGTTAAAGGATAAGTTTACCTTTGGGACCATGTCATATTTGGGGTATAACATGAAACGCGGTCACATTTCACTAGTGGAAGTTACTACAAATTCCAATTGTTAACTAGTTTTCTTTAACCACTTGAAGACCGGGGTGTTAACCCCCTTTCCTGTCCAGGACATTTTTTAGTATTCAGCGCTGAGGTACTTTGAGCATCTAAAGTGCAGAGGTTTGAATGGGCCCCTAAGTGCCACAACCCCACCTATTGGGTGAAGCTTACATCTAGTTCTGACAAATCTGACACATAGGGGTCCTACAGAGATTTGATAGAGGCTGCCATTCTATCTTAGTGCACTAGCAGCCATAGTTACTGCTCAAGTATGAAGCATCGCAATTAACTGCTACCTAGTGATGTATACATTTTTCTGTATGCCTTATACCACAGTAATATCAGATCCAGGTGAATTGATAGTCTACATTCTCAGATCAATATTTATTCAGGTCACACAAGACATTGGGGGTAATTTATGAACAAGTTTGGGACTAAATTTTTAGGCACGGAGATCAACAAAAAGTAATGATAGCTAACCAGGACATTTGTCAATTTGGTTGCATCATCAGCATCTTTTAATCTGTCGTACCCCTAATTTCTAGTGCCTATAGCGACAGCTCTGTTATCCTAGAGTATGCTTCATTCCTAAATGCCTTCATCAGGAGAATTGCCTCTACATTTTCTCTAAGTTGTCTCTGTCTCTAAATCATCTTAAGCTTGCCTGTGAACCTCCGGGGTGACAGATGAATAGCCCTGAAGTACTTGCCTTACTTGAGGATGTGAAGGTGAATTATCTTTGCGATACTTAAGAAGAGCTCAGGAGCTCTTCTAGAATGTGCAACAGTTCAGAGGTCTTTTACTGTCACAGATGCTGGATGCAAATCCCATGCAGCTGAAATGTTGGAACACATTTGCAGTAAGCTGTAGACATTAATATGTTGCAAGAACACTGCAAAAAAGACGCATAACAGAGCATGACACTTTGGGCTTAATATGTTGTCACAAACACATACATAAATTGCCCCCAATGTCTTCCCTAAATATTTGAATACGCACTAGGAGAAAAGGGCAGGTGGAAAATAAAGAAAGCTCTGCAGTCAGACACTTCAGAAATGAGACCCATTCAGGGTTATTCACAAAAGGGTGTAGAGTTTGGAGAACGCAGGAGAAGTGAACAATCTAGGACAACATAGCTGAACTGGAAAGTGAGCTGAATAGGAGAACTTTTCCAAATCAGCTATTTTGGCCTAGAATGTTCACTTCTCCTGCCTTCTCCAAACTCCTCACCCTTTTGTGAATAACCCTGATTATGTGTCATTGCAATGAATTTAAGGGAAACCCCTATTTTCAGAAAAAAATATTAAATTATTATTAAAAATAAATGTTTTATTATTTTAACTAGGGATGTTCAGATACCAATGCTGATACTTGGCATTTTCACGAGAACTACCAGGGTTGCAGAGGTTGCAGCTGGGACCTGGCTCTGGCGCTCCACCACTGTCCTGAAATCATTAGTCTGTATTGTTTTAGAAAAACTGTCACTTGACAATAAGCGAACATGTATCAGTACTTGTATCTGTGAGCACTTGGATAAGTATCAGTAGTTGTACTTGAAAAAATGGTATCAGTGAATCCCTTACATATACACTGAGTGGCCAGATTATTATGACCACCCCATCAGTACTTCGTGGAGCCACCTTTTGCCTTCAATACTGCAGCGATTCTTCTTGGCATTGACTCCACGAGATGTTGAAAGGTGATGCGAGGAATCTGACACCATGCCTGATGAATAGCACTGTCCAGTTCTGTGAGATTTGATGGTTGTGGAACCAGCTGCCTGATGGCTCTTTCAACTTCGTCCCACAAATGCTCAATTGGATTGAGATCTGGTGATTGTGGGGGCCACCTATGCAAGGTAAAGTCTCCCTCATGTTCCTGAAACCACTCCTGCACAATACGAGCACCGTGGCATGGCGCATTGTCTTGTTGGAAGAAACCATCTCCATTGGGATACGCCATCAACATGATAGGATGAACTTGATCAGCAACAATACTTTGGTATCTTGTGCTATTCAGACGTTGTTCCACACGAATTAAAGGGCCCAAATCATGCCAGGAAAACATGCCCCAAACCATAACACTGCCCCCACCAGCTTGAAGGACGTTCTTTACCCGTATCTTCAGAAAAAAATCACTTCTACTGTTGTGGTAAACAACCTGCTTCCCTATTTATAATGGTCTGGTCCTCTAGCAACTTCAATGCAAAATTATAGCTAATTTGCCTACAAACGTCAGGTGGTCATAATAATAATAAAAAAAAATCATACATTAAAGGAGAACTATGAGATGAGTGATGTTCACTCAGCCTCATGATCTGAGCCGACCTGTGACAATGAAACTGTCACAGGTCGGCTCAGTAGATTGGGAAGTGAGCGAACACATACCGGAGCTCGCCCACTTCTCGATCTTTCCCTGCAAAGAGCCGTGACTATCACTCACGGCGACCTGCAGGGATTCCCCCCTCCCCTGTCCGATCCTCCAGCGCTGACTGGCGGAGCGGACGGGGAGGGGGAATATTTGAATTTTTCTCTAGTCTAGTCTTGGAGCTTGAAAAGTATCTGTACTTGTACCGTGTACGTTACTTGGTATCTGAACATCCCTAGTTTTAAGTTATTTATGTTGAAGATTTTGTATTACATGTTACAAGTACAACACATTTTAATAAAAACAAATATGTTGATAAATGAGGTTATGCATCTATGGTGCTGAATTTTCTCAGAAGCCGGATATTTGAAATGTCTTTGTACAAACAAACCAATGTCAGTTAAATGAAGTGAAGAAAGCTTCATTGAGAAGGGTGTATGGCAAGTGCTTAGTATAGTAGTTTTGTACTTTCAGGAAGAGTTCTGCTCTGCTGGCCCTCTGCCTCATATCAAACCTGAATGCCCTCGTTGATGAAGCAGAACTTTTCATTAGTTGTCTGTCAGGTCACTTTTTCGGCTGAAAGGCCAATATGCGAGTTGGTAGCACAAAAGACATGAAAAATGTACTCAGAAAAGGTAGATGTACAGATAGCGGTGAGCAGAGAAAATGTATCCTCTGAATATTATTTATTATGACACAGATGTTTTCACAATGAAACCATTATATTTGCTTTGCTAATTATACAGTTTCTTAGGGCTTCAGTTCCTGAAATAATGTACATTATCTCTGTCACATAGTCCATTCACCAAATGATTTCTGCTGCAGGTCAGTCTACATACCCGCTGCAGCCAATACAGGTGCCACTTCAGCTCATTACAACTGGTACATATCACAAAACTGGATTCATGGATGAGGGCACCAACCAGTCTATTCTACTCAGAAGTTTTATTTAAATCCAACAGGGCAAATCAGGATAGTATGGTGACTTTCTAAAGTGTTTCACACTGCACTTAAAGAACAACTCTCATGAGCATTACAAATGTAAATGCAGGTCCATAAATTCATGTATAAATACCTTTCCTAGACTGTTCAGGGAAACGGTAATGGATTGTAAATAAAATCCCTTCTTTAGTTCTGACAGTGGTGGGGAATGGGGGCACCCTGCCATACCATACAGCTAACCTTTGGCCTGGTTCACACCTGGGCGTTTTGTAGCGCGTTTGAACGCTCTGCAAAACGCTCAAACACCGAAATCCCATTATTTGCTATGGGTATGGTTCACACCTGGGCGTATTACAGGCCGTATGAACACGCTACAAAACGTCCTACGCCCAAAGAAGTGCAGGAGCTCCTTTGGGGCGTTTTTGTTGCACGTTTGCATTGGGATACAGCCGGAAACGCGTGCTTGTCGCACGTTTTTTTACCGCGAATCGCTGTAAAAACACGTGTCACGAAACGCGCGACAAACGCGCATATTCGATACGCCTAGGGGTGAACCCAGCCTTAGACACCATGTAAAAAGATGGCACAAAGTACTACATCTATTGTGTCCCTTGGGTGACTGGGGACATTCAAAAAAGGAAGTTAGAGTTCTTCTTTAATCGTACCATTTATGCCATATCGACTGAGATAAACAGTAAAATACTACTATGTAAATGTAACTTTGCTTATGTCTTATAAGTTAAAATGTTTTTATATCCTGGAACCTTTACATTTTGCCTATAGTCATTAGAAGTGCCGTCTAGTAGTAAGGGAACCCTGTGTTTCATTTCAACCTGGGGCTCTATCTGACTGGAGTTTTTATGCTCTCACAGTGTACTCTGACTTTCTCGCAATAGACATACTCATAGGCTATTGAACTCCTCTTGAAATGTGTCACTAGCCTGTGTGTGCATTTTTATTGTGAAAGGAATATTAGATTGTAAACTTCTGAATGTATAAGGAATGATGTGAATGACTTCCTATAAACGGCAACTGAATCATTTATCATTTATTTTGCTGAATCGTGCAAGGTAATAAAAAACAAAACATTGTCGTTAGCTGTCCTATTTGGTATTTCATGCATAGCCATACTCTCAACAATCCTATTTTCTTTTTTCCTCTTTAAGGTGGAAAACGAAAGCAAAGTCCACAGCATTATGATAACTTGCACTATGAAATAAACTGTCTGAAAGAAGAACTACAGTTTACCAAAAAGCAGCTGGAGACCGATAAAGCAACTCATCTGGAGAAACTCTCTCAGGTAAGATGGATGTGGCCACAGTCATATTTTCCTGAAGCTGTTGCTACAAGTGTCACAATTCAGGCACTGAGCACATTCTCTTTTTTGGCAGGTTCTTAAAACAACCAGTGGTGCACCAAAATGAAAATTTCATAACCGACACAAAACTGAAATTAAAAAAAATTGTCAGTTTATTTTAACTTTTTCAAATTTTTCAAATATTTTATTTTTCTTAATTTTTTATAAACTTTTTAATTTTTTATATTAATATTTATTTATTCATTTTTTAATAAATATTTTTATTTTTTACTTTACTTTTAGGGGCTTCGGGGAAATATCGGGGGTCTAAACAGACTCCTGGTATTTTCCTTTTAAAATAGAAAAGCTATTGAGGACACGTAGTCCTTAATCTCTTTTTCGGCAGCCCCTGTTATCAATGAACAGGAATCCTCAATACTGAGTGTTCCTGTTCATTCATAACATGTGGAGATAGTATGTTTACTATAACCACAATCATGAATGAACAGGAGGTGATGTAAATCACTTCCCATTCATTCATAATTGAGGATATAGTAAAAATAATATGTCATCAATTATTTAAAAACAGTGAGTGTTTGTACCTTGCTCTCCTCTCTGATATGTCACAGGAGGCTGAGGGAGAGAAGCTCAGCCTGCTGTGACACCACTGGCTGTCTCCGCCCACACACCGTTCTGCCGATCTCTGACAGGAGGCTGAGCAGTGTGGGAAGAGAGAGGCTGGCCGCTCACAGCGCTCTCCTCCCGCAAGGCTCGGCCGCCTGTTACAGTTTCTCTCCTCCCCGCTGGGACAGAGCAGCGCCCAGCAGTGAGGTGAGAACGAACGGATGCACCGCTGCATCGGCCAGAAAATGGCACTTTCAGCATTATGCCAAAAGTGCCATTCTCGGCCGATATGTTTCGGGGGCCTATATATCGGTGCATCCCTAAAAACAACCCTAAGGCTCCATTCACATATAGTGTTTGCGTTTCTCGCAGGATGGAAGCGCTAATATTTTAAAATCCGCATGGATCCCGCTCGCTTGCGGCTATTAAATAGCCGAGAACGTGCGGAATCTTCCAGATTATCACACTTGTACTATTTGGGAGGCCTCACGATTTTGTGCCGCACAGTTCCCGCAGTGGTCTCAACGATGCACATTAAAGTGCATTGTATTCTCTTTATCAGGCTGTCTGTGCTCTTTCAGTAGGCCAAGAGACACTAAGCTGTCAGTTTATGTTTTTGCTCTCAGTTTTCTAAACGGGATATTTTCCTTCACTTTCTGTCCCAGAGACACCTCAAGAAGTGAGAGGAAATTACTACAAAGTGAGGATAAATCAGTTGTCTTGAATTGAAGATTTTCCCTCATCTTTTATTCTGTTGACAACTGTAAACGTTTGGATTTCCAACCACTTTCTGTCCCAGTAACAATGTTCCCCAGGTCAAAAAAGAGAGCATTAAAAACCTGCCAGGGTTTATAACCATTCCCTTTTCTTTCCTAAACAAAACAAAATGTTATGGCTATAGTAACACTTTCAGCCCTGCTCTGTCCTGACTTTAAACCTTGCCTATTGTCGTTCATCTGTCAAATGTAAGAACCTTTGGTTACCCTGCATTTTAGTGTACTTGTGTGGAAGTCAAGACTCCGTGTCCAACCTTAGTCTAGGATCCACAAGGATCTATTTGAAGACTAACATATGTACTCATTGGGAGAAATTTATCCAAACTGGAGCAGGCAAAATCTGGAGCAGATTTGCACTGCAGCCAATCAGCTTCTCTGTCTCATTTTTAAATCTTACCTGAACAAACTGAAGAGAGAAGCTGATTGGTTAACATGCACAGCTGCTCCAGTTTTGATAAATTCCATTCACTGTGTCTGAACTCCAGCACAGTTTTTACCTTTTAGAAAGTTTTAGATCAGGTCAGATTCACAATAAGTACAGAGCCAAGTAGAATTAGGTTTTCTAAAGACAGACCTGTACAAGATGAATTCTGATTGGTTGCTTTAGATTAGAACTTAAACATTAGGGACGCTATTTGAATAAAGCAATATGTAACAGAGTGACCTGCCCATGGACCTTATATTATGAGGGATACAATCAGGTGAGTGGTAAGGAGCGTTATATAGGTAGGTGTATGTAGCTACATAGACTGGATTGGTAGCTTGTTTTTAAGTTAATGGTGGGAATTCGATAAAGGCTTTGCACCATGTTTCTGTGCCCAAAAACCCCTGTCAAACATTTTGGCATCTTAACCAACACATGGACAGATTCAGCTAGTTCCTAATAGTGCCACTTGCCACTTTAAGAATCTGTCGCTATGGTTTTTTGTTTATGCAAAAAGAATTACCGCCAGTTTACAGAATCGAAAACTGGCGGTAATTAAGACCAAACCTGAGCTGGTGTACAGAGAGACTGTAGTGCTCAGAGTGGGGTATGTATGTGCTGGGAAGCTTTCATGAATCTGACAGCTTTCTGCTGAGGGTTTATTGGTTGCTATGACACCGCCAGTGTCCTATCAACCAATGACGCATCACTGGCCCCATGAAGCTGCCAACCAGGATATATCCCAGCCGGTAACTGAATGTAAACAAAGGGGCTATCACCCATGACCACATCTGTGTAGCCCACGCCGTCCTTAACAACTAGTGATGCTAACAGTGGGCAGAGCCTGATAGGAATACCGAGGGACTAGTTCCCCATCAGGTCCAGTCTGGTAGTGGTTGATAGCAGGAATTGTATGGATTTCATAGCTAATAGCAGACTGTCTATTGGCTATGAAGTCTAACCATTGCCTGCCATCAATGACCAGCGGAACAAACTCGATGGGGAACTAGTCCCTCACCAGCCCCATCAAGCTCTGCACACCGATTAGTGAAACTGTTGGCTACTTGACTGCTGTGTGGCAGGTGCAGCAACCGTGAGAGGTGGTGAGATGCAGGATGAGGACGGAATGTCCAGTGCTTCCAACAGGTGAAGTGGTAAAACATTTTTGAGTATCTTTAAAAAATTAATATCACTATATTTTATACAGCTACAGGAAAGTGAGCATAGGAAAACAATGGAGTTGGAAGTTTTGAAAAAGTTTGACAAGTGGAAAGCAGAAGAAAGAGAAAATTTTGAAGAAGAAATGAGAAAAGTGAAAGAAATGTTTATGAAGGAGCTTAAAGAAGTGACTGATAAGAACTCTTCTCTGGAGAATGTGAGTAACAACTGCAATATAAAGTATTTTGTTATGAAAACAAATGGTCCAAGAACATACAAAAATGAGATACCCAAAGATACCTGCAGATACTTGAGTAATTGTACAGACTACCCAGTAACCCATGGCACACTTTATGCAAACCTCAGCTTCAAGCTCCAAAGTCAGAACTCATTCACAATATATTGCCTCTCTCACTATAAGCTTGTGAGGCTCAGCACATTACTTAGATGTGAGGGCAGAGGGTGCTTTAGCTCTGAATCCATTACATGGCAGGCACCCTGGCATCAGAGGCTTTAGGGATACCATGAAGGATTAAAGGAATGTGTGCCAATTCATAATGGAAGTTGTCATTACTTAATTGTTTATCTGAAAATAATAGCTTGGAAGAAATATACAGTTCTGATTTCACTTTGACTTTTCTGATTTGCATGCTTGCCCTAGGTTAGGGACTCCTTTCCAGAAGCAGATCATCACTTGTGGCTTCCATATTCCTTGCAGTACACTTTTTTTATTTTCAGAAAGAAGCTCTAGACCAAAAACGGAAAAACTGTTGCGGGTATAACGTGTAGGCACCTAGGGGTTTAAAAGCCCTGCAGATAAGGCCTAATGCCGTGCTAGACTTCTGGAAAATGCCAGAGGTTGCAAGTAGGTCCTTACAGTTGCATTAGCCCATCACTATGATGCATTGGATTGCTGGTCACTAGGAATGTGCAGAAGGCAAAAAGAAGCAAGCAAGCGTCTGAACTATGAGAAAGTGCTGGGGCTTTACATCTCAGAATAACCCAGCATTCAGCCATAACTCCAGGGGTTTTTTTTTTTTTTTAAACTGCAGGTATGTTCATGTAACATTGTAACTGAAGGTGCCTGAACTTTATAGCTGTAGCTGTTTGTTTTCGCTTTTATTCTAGAGGCAGAGTCTCTTTAACATATGTATGTGCTGCTTTTCATTGTGCCTGCTTTTAAGTCTTTAGGGCATTTTTTCTTTGTTACATAGACTTCAACTTTATGTTAAAGGACAACTGTCATTAAAGGAGAACTATGAGGCGAGTGAAAATCACTCATCCTCGTAGTTCAAGCCGACATGTGACAATGAAACTGTCACACGTCGGCTCAATAGATCGGGAAGGGAGCGAACGCATACCGTTGCCTTCTCACTTCTTGATCATCTCCCTGCAGAGAGCCGTAACTGTCACTCACCGCTCCCCGCAGGGATTCTCCCTTCCCCGCTCTGATCCTCCAGCGCTGACTGGAGGAACGGACGGGGAGGGGGCGGGTAGAGCTGGTTCTGCCTTTAGATAGGCAGAGTCAGCTGTCACTCACGCAGCTGGGTGGATCCGACAGTAATGTCTGGATCCGTCCCGGCTGCGGCGGTCTTAGTATACCGTGAGCTGTAGCTGTGACCCTTAAGAGAACTATGGGGAAAAACACTTACCCCATAGTTCTCTTTTAAAGAGCAAAATCCTAAAGTATCCTCCTATATACATTGGTTGATACAATTTACAAATTAACTCTTCTTTGCTGAATGTTTTAAAGTGTTGATGGTTAGGATTTATCACTGGCACAGATGTAGCACAGCTATTTTATAGATCTTCAGAGGTGTCTGTGAATGAGTCGGTGATATCACTGTTCAGCAAAACAACAAGTATGTTCTGTAATCATTGCAGATAGGGTCAACGCTGGGACCGTGGAGAACTTTAGTCTGCTGGTTAAAGTATGGTGCACTCCAGCCAGCTCTGAACATTTGGGTCAACCTTAAAGTCAGTTTCCACCTTTGTAAGTGATTAGCATTTATTGTGGTAATGTAGAGGTGCAGTGATAATGTATATATGTGCACATGTACATGACTCACATCACAGGCTTTCTTCATTTTTTAATGACATTTTTATTAGGCCTGAATCCTACAAATTAAAGATTTTCTCTACAGCAAACTCCCTCTAAGGCCTGGTTCACACCTGGGCGTTCTGTAGCGCGTTCGAACGCTCTGCCAAATGCTCAAACACCGAAATCCCATTATTTCCTATGGGTATGGTTCACACCTGGGCGTATTACAGGCCGTATGAACGCGCTACAAAACGCCCTACGCCCAAAGAAGTACAGGAGCTTCTTTGGGGCGTTTTTGTCGCGCGTTTCCATTGGGATACAGCCAAGTAGCCCTCGGAAACACGCAATTGTCGCACATTTTTTTAACTGCGAATCGGGCTAAAAGCGCGTGTCACGAAACGCGCATATTCAATACGCCTAGGTGTGAACCCAGCCTTACACTGGGGTCGGACTGTAAAGCGGTCAGTTAACAGCTGCCCCCTCCGTGTGATCTGTGTAACACGTTCACTAAACACCAGCTCTGCCGTTGCACACAGTACACTGTCCTGAGGGTCGGGGTTACCACTATGAATACTAATGAATGGGGGGTGGAGAGTTCAGTTGTAATATACATACATTGCTTGCAAAACAGGGAGTTGGCCATTTCCATAAGGATCTGAAGAAGAAAGCTAACAAAAATGTACGTTTCTGTGTTCATATACATCAACTTCATATGCCTACTTCATGTGTACTCTGTGTACATTGCTGGCATATGTTTTTTTTTAAATACCTCCGCAAAGGTGGAAATGGGCTTTGAAGTGACCCTGCCGCACAATATATAATATACTTAGTGCGGTTGTTTTCCCCAGTTGCTGCATGTATTCTACTCTTCCGGTTGTGTAGAATACCTGCTTTCCTTGCCAAATGCCGTGGTTGCTCCTTCTAGCTCATATGTCACTTCAGGACTTTTGTCACTTTGAAAGTAATCAGATTGATGCAGATAGATGTATCCTTTAGTCAAAGCAATGTATTGTTTTAACTATCCATTTCACTATATGAATAATCAATGTGTGTATGGCGAGTGTGACATTTACTGTAAAACAAGATTTGAGATGGTTATGCTGCAGAAATAGCACATGAGTCCACTTACAGAATTATTTCTAGTTCAGTGATTTTCTGGAAGAACAAACATTTTTCTTGATTGTTGCTTGTATAAATACTGCTATGGTAGAGTAACAATGAGCCCACATATGATACTGGCTAACAGTGATTTCTCATTTATGATGCTTTGATATTTGCAGGAGCTGATTGAATTGAACAGACAGAGCCAGCAAAGAAGGTCTGGATTAGGCAGTCTAGAAGAAAGCCCTCAGATTGACCCAGGGCAGGGAAAGTCAAACTATCATTGTGACACTGAAAATATTAAGGAACTCTTAGAAAATCAGGTATAGTTAGAAATTCATTTTACATTTGTGATATATGTTAACGTTTGGTATGTTTTCAAAGGATTAGGAAGAAATACAATATATCTTCTGCAGTTTGGTGCTTGAACAATTAATCCTAGAATTTAGAAAAAAAAAAACATACATGGAGCAACAGAAATGTTTTTACAGACCTTAGATGCCACCATCCATGCCTGCAGGATCCAGCCTTTACACAGTCCTTCTTATGAAAGCTCATTCTATAAACATACATTTTCACATTATGCAGATGTGCATGTTTGACCTATGGTGAAGGAAGCGTGAACATCTGAGCACCGGTTATCTCAGGGGAGGCAGATGAGACAGAGGCTCAGCTAGAATTATGGAGGAAAAAGCTGTCAGGTTAATGTCTGAAGCTGACAGCTTTTTCTCCATTCAGATCGGCATCTAACAGGTTACACAGCAGGAAATCCTCCCCGCTGTGTAACCTGTCATGGACGAAGCGGCTCAGCAATGAGGAGCAAGTGAGGGACAGGGAGGCTTTTCCCTGTCTCCTCCCTTCCTCCTTTGTACTAGCTTGGGGACGGGGCTTTGTCCGGCAGGGTGTGGGGCTTCATCCGGCGGGGCGAGGCTGGGGAATGCCTCACCAGGAACAAGAGGTACCGCACGTCACTGCTCAGGTATATATATGTCAGATACAGTAGCAAGGAATGGCCAGGATAATCCATGCTTGATGGTCGCATCTTTTCCTGAGAATATACAGTCAATTATCTGCCGGGGTCTGGAGGGCCTACAGATGATTGTTTCCCAATCCAGCCTTAGGTGTCTAGATTAAGCAGATGTTTTTCTATATCTTATGGCATCGTTAGGCGGTCATGTAGTGGATTCTTAGTTAAAGGATCAGTCTACATATAACGTATATTTCATCTCTTGGTGGATGTTTTTACTAGGAAAATACAAAGATCCACATTACTGTTGTATGATACTGAGCAGAGCACATTCTCTGCTTTTGTCTGGTAAAGTACAAGTGTTATGTTAACAATGACTGCTTTATTTATAAATCCTTTATTTATGCTATGATAGGGAACTAGCACTATTAAGCTAGGGAGAGTGGATGGGGAACTACTTCAGGGTTATCTCACCATCAGGGTCCTCAAAGTGCATTTCCACTTTTGAAGCCAAATTAGGATAACACTTATTTTATATTTGTTACATGTTCCCATTCACATAGTATAAAGCATACAAAAATAAATATTGTTGCTTAGATTTTTAATTTGCTAAAAATCTTATTTAGCTTCCCCTTTTTTTGTAATGTTAATGAGGGGATTAAGGGGTAATGTTTGCCATAATTAATCCTTTCCGTGCTGTGCTGGCAGAATCAGTTGTAAACTAGATTTAAATACTGTCCGAACAAACAGTTAAAGATCTTATAGCTTGGGTAGTACATTGCATGTTAATGCACTTTAAAACATTGGTTCTCAACCTGTGTAACCTCAGGACCCACATTTGTCCTTGGTCATTAAGTCGTGACCCAAGTCGCACCACACTGGAATGCACGGCATTGCGTTACCGTGTGTTTCGGTGCAGGTGATCGAACTGTGGAAGAGCAGTGTGTTTGGTGGTGACATTCAAATGAATGGCAATGCAACATACCTCTCGCATCAGAATGCGCGATTGCATAGTAAGGTGCGTTAATCAGTGGAGTGGATCCTCAGCCTGGTATCCAGTGTGGGCTGATGTGCTGTGATGGAGTTCCATCCATATGTGCAGTGCTTGTACAGCTCCCTAGCGTGCCCTGTAGAGGTGCCGGGAATGTGTCACTCTGGTCCTGGCACCTCTACAGCACACAAGAGAGCTGTAAGCAATGCACATATGAATGGAGCTCCCTTGCGGCAATAGCCCCATCCCATCCGACCTCAATCTGACAATCGGTACCGGGCAACATATTTTGAATGGCTGCTTGGTGTGAGACAGTGCTGCGCTAGGAGGAGGCTGAGGAGCCTCTCACCTAGTGCAGTGGAAGGCATGCAGTGACCCACTGAACACGGTGTCGCGACCCACTTTTGGATCATGACCCACCAGTTGAGAACCAAGACTTTAAAAGAAAGTGTCCCTCAAGACTGTCCCTTATCACCATGTTGCCACTTATTCTAAGCAATAGTATCCTATGTATGACCCTGCTCCAAGAAAACAAGAAAGGTAAGATATATATTTTTAAATGGTTTATTGGTAAGCTGAATGGGAACACATACCAAACATAGAGTGGGGGGTTTCCTAAATGTAACTGCAAAATACACTTTAAAAAAATTGACGGATACTTCACCTGGCCATTATAAGATATTTAACCCCTTTGTGACGGGAGACGTACACTGTACATCCAGCCACAAAGGGACCAAATTACGTGACGAGTTATTTGCTGCTTTAGAGGGCTGTTAACCGCTGAGAATCAGCTTTTAACATTCATTAATGGATGCCCTTACTACAGAGGCATTCATTAATAAAAGGGTTAACCTTTTTCAGACACCCGATACCTTAATATCGGGTGTCTGAGAGTCAAAGCAGAGGGACACACATGCCGGCTTTTGCCGGCATTCTGACAGCTTGAGAGATATCTCTCTCAAGCTATACTGGATTTTTTTTCTTCTTTCATGAATAGACACATAATGTATCTATTCCTGAAAGAAGAATGTTTCAGTTTTCTGATCGTTGTTGCAACAATCAGAAAACATTTAGTGACAGCTGAATCCTGAACTGCTGCAGGATCAGTGTCACTAACTTATTATCGGCTGTTCTGAAGTTTGAAACAGCCTGATAATAACCAAAAATTTATTAATTTATCAAGCAGTAATAGTGAGCTTAATTCACAATGACTGCTTGATATAATTAAATAAATAAAATAAAATTTTTAAGTTTAAAAAAAAAGTGAAAAGTGTAAAAAAAAAAAATTGTGAAAAGTGTAAATAAAAAAAATGTGTAAAAAAAATAAGGGACAAATAAATGAATGTATTTATTGCATTTTTTTAGCTGTGCTGGTTTTGTAAAAAAAATACTACAAATCAAAACTGGGAAAAAGTGTTTTTTTTACGTTTTTTTCCTCTTTTTTTTTAAATATTTTATTTGTCCTAAGTGAGGCGTTAGACACACATATGTGATATAAATATGTAGCCCTATCTGTCCTCTAAAAAACAATATATAATATGTGTGAGTGCACTTTGTAAGAAAGTATATGACTGACGTGGAAGAATCACACAGCAAAAATGTCAAAAGTGTGTCAGTCATTTACGAACAGAAACTAAAAACAAGCTCAGTCATGAAGGGGTTAACAGGAAAGAGCCTTAATATGGATCTAGGAAGTATAAACTGTTGGCCTACAATACTTGTTAGTGCCTTCATGGGGGTTCAAGGCCAAACTTTGCCAAATCACTACAATGTTGTAAAATGGGCTAATAAATGGTATAAACAATCTAAACTCATTTGTTTCATTAAAGGAAGAAAAGTGGAGAAATCACATCCAGGAACTTAAACAGGAGTATGACCGAGAAAAGAACCAGACCATCCAGTTACTTCGGCAGGAACATGATCGGGAAAAGAACCGAGTCAAACAGTTGCTACAGCAAGATTTTGATCGGGAAAAGAACCAGATTGTACAACAGCTTCAGCAAGAGTGTGAGAGGGAAAAGAATGAGAAGAACCAGGTCATACTTCAGCTTCATGAAGGGCATAACTGTGATGAGAACAAGCTGGGCATTCTTGTAGTTTTGAGAATAAGACTTAAATGCTTTGGGTGGAGTCCATGGGATAGGGCAGGTTTTAAACATATTTTACCCTTTTTGACCCAAGTAAAGAATACCATTGTATGTCATTTTGTAATCATAAAATCTTGTGAAAAGCTCTTCCAATTGCACTCTTCCTTTAGGCTGGGTAATGCATAGACTTTGCTGACCCCTCCTTTTAAAAATGCTAGTTGTCTGGTTGTAATGGAGATCCAAAGCCACGCAACTAGCACTTTAAAATGGTGGTTAACAATATCAATCTCCATTTTTCTATCAGCACAGGTTTCCTTTAACCCCTTCATGACTGAGGCCTTTTTTCCATTTTTTTGTACCCATGTTATAGTCCACATTTTAGGCCTGAAAATTACTTAAAACCCCCCAACATTATATATTTTCTGAATGCCAAGACCCTATAGAATAAAATGGTGGTAGTTGCAAATTTTTATGTTGCGCAATATTAGCGCAACTCCTTATTAAACCCCAATATTTAGTGAAAAATTTAATTAAATGCCCCAAAACACAACAAAATACCCATTTTTTTTAATGAAATATAAAAGATGAGGTTACAACGAGTAAAACGATACCCAACATGCCCAGGTTACAAATTGCGTGCATCCGTAAAACGGCGAAAAACCCCAGTACCCCAAAAAGTCCATAGAAGACGCTTTAAAAGCCCCCACAGGTCATCAATTTAGAGATACCCCAAAATACTGGCCCTAGAATTATTGCTCTCACTCCGGCGTGCGCGGCGATACCCAACATGTGTAGCGCGGTCGTCGTTTTCATACGTAGGCGCACCCGACGCGTGTTTACGTAGCGGCGCGCGGGGGCGGGGGACTTTTAAAAATGTTTTTGATTATTATTAGATTTATTTTATTTAAATTTAATGTAAAAAACTTTTTAACGGGAATAGAGGCTGGTGGTACATGACATGACACCTTCACAATAAAAAATTACAGCAACAGGCCACTGTGGAAGCAGCAGCGCACTTGCCTGGCCTTACACGACTCCGCTCAAGCATTTGGGTAGCATTTCAATAACATAGGCAGATATGTCTCATTTGCACAGTTTTTCCCATATATATGAAACCAATGCATCACTATCAAGGTGCTTCTACCAAGAGGGAAGGTCCTGCTCTAGTAGCCAGTATGATAGGGAAGTAGAGAGACTCTAAATTAATCTGCGTAGGTAAGAATAACCAAAAGATGCAGTGGAGGTAAATCCTTTAAGCGAGATTGAAATCTGTATGTTGTGGAAACAAGCAGTAAACACAGTGCATTGTGGTACCATTCATTTTAAATGGCAACCTAGCACACCAGTCATTTCTCTGCAATGTATGTGTGTTTTAGCGCACCACAACACACAGACCATCTATACTGCGCTGTGAGGAAAACAAAAAGCGGCATGTGTATTATAACCTACATTGTGGTGCGTGGCCAGCCCGTCCAAATTGAATCGGGTGCCTTACTGCAATAAAGTTAACACGCAAAATATTGCACACTAATGTGCATGTGGTAACACACCTCAACACAGCAAAAAGGACTGAATCTAGTAGGGCTGCAACTAATGGTTATTTTCATAATCGATTAGTTGGCCGATTATTTTTTCGATTAATCGGACAAAAAAAATTAAATAAATACCATCCTTAATTTAAAATAAAATACACACATGGAGTGTTACAAACATAAAGTTTACTTCAGAATAAAACTGCACGCACAATTTTTTGCAGTCACACTGCACTGGAAAGCTCAGCATTACGGTACCATGCGTTCCAGAGCGGGCGATCACACTGTGAGTGGGAGGCGCATTTGGGGTGCCATTGAAATGAATGGCACTGCAACACACCTCCCGCAGCAAAATTTGTCAGGCCAAAACAAAAATGATTTTTTTCCCACCTTTAATTTTTATTTGAATACTTGTATTGTAAGAACATGGCGCTTGAATAGCTTCAGCCAGGGAATGACAGCTGCCAGTGGCAAGATTCCACAGACGGCAGCTGAATGTAAATACAGCAGGTAGTGGGCTGGTGTAATAGCCATCCTGCTATTGGCCATTTCAAATTGCAATAGCCAATAGCAGGCTGGCTATTGCACCCGCCCACTGCTTGCTGTGCCCTCCTCCCAGCATGGAGGGGAGAGCTAGGGGATCCAACCAATTAATCAATAAGGAGAATAGTTGACAACTATTCTCATAATGGATTAGTTGGTTGCAGCCCTAGAATCTAGTCCAAACGTGCAAGATCTGATTGACAGATTTTATTTTGTCAAAAGTTTATTTAGGTGGTTTTGTTTATCTTGGCTGTATATAGAGAAGAAATAAGTTGTACTGAGTTTCCCTCCTGAGGTTTAGATGGTGACTTTAGTATTCACACTCATATGGGTGGGTGATGCACCAACATCCAGCTAGCCTGTGTTTACTACGCCCTAGGTACAACTTGAAATAATTCACAGTAGCCTGTTGCTGTGTGGAAAGCACAGGTTTCAGGGTTTATCTATATTTCTGCTGACTACTGGACACACACCAGAGGCTAGTTAAAGTCATTTGTGTTCGGAGTCTGCTTACCTGTGTACAGAATAATTATGAATAACATACTGACCTGAGGTGTGCCATGGTCCGGGTGGACAGTAATGCCAGTAAGGGAGCATACTCTGAGTGTAATGCTAAAGAATAAGGGGAAAGGGCGGGAGGGTTATGCTGAAAGCCTCGCGTCACCAGGTGAGTCTGCTTGCTCGGGTTAAAAGCGATGCGGAGGGACAGACTCCTCCCACAAATCCAGGCTAACACATTAGCCTTCAAACTACAGAACATGGAGCAGTCACCAAAGCTTCAGCAAGCACCTGAATCCACCATCGGGATCTGTTTTTGTGGCTTAATGTGATGCAGGGACATGCCAGATGTTATTGTGTAGCGTTGTTCTTTCCCTATATGCATACCCATCTTAAGAGTTATGATAGTCAGGCTCTTTATATGCACCTTTTGCCTTTTCAGATTGGGGTCTTCTACTTCTGACACTTTCTTCTAGTCCATACACAATGACCTGTAAAGGAAGTGTTGATTAGGATGCGTATAAAATGAGTCAAGCAGGGTACCTGTGTATAGGAACTCTAGAAAGAATATTAAGTGGATGCAGGGATGTGTTCATATGCCATAGATACCTAATTGTTGCTTATCCTCTTTATCTTTCTTTAGATTAAAGAATTATTGACAAAACCACCCCCGGCTGTTAAAAAATCTTCTGGTAAGATGTGTATGGGAACCTTTTTGTAAGTTCTGATTGAGTGATATGATACTTATTGATGTCATCGGGTTTATGCACTGGGAACATTTTACAGGATAACTCCAGTAAAGCCTTTTTTTTTTTGGTAAGCGTGGCAAATGGCTACAACCCTTATCATTTTTATTTCCCATTGGGAAGACTTTTCTTCACTTCCTGTTCTGGGAACACAACAGAATATTAGAAGGGAAGTAAAGCCAAACCTCTTTTGGGTCACAAGAGTACATTTACTCTTGCTCAATGTTTAAAATAATTGGAATTGAAAAACGAACATCAGCAGAAAAATAATAGGAGAAGAAGAAAAAGGAGTTCATTAGGGCTGATTGGGGTAAACTAAGATTTAATAGTGGGTTACATAGAAACAACATTTATTTTTTAAAAATACTTTTTTTTCTTCTACTTTTTAGGTTGCTTTAGCTGACATCATATGCAGGTCAAAGGTCACCCTTTCAATCTGCAGATGAATTAAACAGAGTAGATTCAAGAGTAAAAATGTAACTTTCTATCTCTCTATGTCATAAG